GCAGCATATGCTGCAGCAGCAGCACCAGCAGCAGCACATGATGCAGCAGCAGCAGCATATGCAGCTGCAACACATGATGCAGCAGCAGCAGCATATGCAGCTGCAGCAGCAGCATATGATGCAGCAGCAGCAGCATATGCAGCTGCAGCAGCAGCACATGCTGCAGCAGCTGCTGCAGCAGCAGCACATGCTGCAGCAGCAGCTGCAGCAGCAGCAGCAGCAGCAGCAGCAGCAAGTTACCTCGCAGACGAAGCTGAAGATAAGAGACACCGCAGAAAGTCCCTCCATGGATTCGTTTTTGTACCAAAACTGCATATCTGAAAAAACAAAAATAAAAAATAAAAATCAAATTTAAATGAAATTAAAAAGAAAATAAAATTAATTTAAAATAGACTAATTGGATTTTTAAAAAAAGAAAAAAATTAAATCAAAGAAGTTAAGAAGAAATTGAGAAAAATAAAAAAATTAAAGGGAATTGAAAAGATATGAAAAGGACGAAAAATAAACGAAATCAAATTAAAATCCTATTTTAAAATTAAAAGTCAAAAATGAAATAAAAAATGAAAAATAAATGAAAATAAATGAGTTCAGTTAAAAAGAAACAAAAAACATAAATAAAAGAAATAAATGAAAGAAATAAATAAAAGAAATAAATGAAAGAAATAAATAAAAGAAATAAATGAAAGTAATAAATAGAAGTAATAAATAAAACAAATAAACGAAAGAAATAAATAAAAGAAACAAATAAAAGAAATAAATAAAAAAAATAAATAAAAGAAATAAATGAAAAGGATAAAACAAAAAGGAGAAAAGGAGAAGACAATGGGAGACAAATAAAGTGGAAAAAAAGAAATAAAATGAAATAAATAAAAAGCAAAAAATGAAATAATAAAAAGCAAAAAATAAAAAAAGGAAATAAGTAAAAAACAAAATTAAAATAGATAAAAACAAAAAATGAAATAGACAAAAAAAGATGAAAGAAATAAAGAAAGAAAAGACGGAATAAATAAAGGAAATAAAGTGAAATAAATAAAGAGACAAAATGCAATAAATAAAGAGACAAAATAAAATAAATAAAGAGACAAAATAAAATAAATAAAGCGACTAAATGAAATAAATAAAGAGACAAAATAAAATAAATAAAGAGACAAAATGGAATAAATAAAGGAAGAGACAAAAAACAAAAAACAAAAAACAAAAAACAAAAAACAAAGAATCGAAAAACAAGTAAAAAGCAAACTACAAACAACAAAAAAACAAAAAAAACAAAAAACAAAAAACAAAAAAAATAAAAATAAAAAAAACAGAAGTACCGTTTTTGAAGGCGAAGAAGGAAAAGAGGGAATGGAGAAGAATAAAAAAAAAAGAAAAAACCAACATGAAAGGATTTGTCTCCAAAATAATTCTTTTAAACATCAAAGTCTCCTTTTGTGTCTGCAGTCCAAGTTGCTGCTGCTGCTGCTGCGCCCCCGCTATTTGCTGCTGCAGCACGAACGCATGCAGACTCCCCACCCCGAACGACAGCAGCAGCTTCTCCGAAGTCTCCTGCACAAATGCGCG